TGCTACTACTACTACTACTACTGCTACCACCACCGCTCCTGCTGTTTTTTCTGCTACTGCTACCGTTACTCTGCTACTACTACTACTACTACTACTACTACTACTACTGCTACTACTACTGCTATTGCTACTGCTACTGCTACGACAACGCCTGCTACAGTACCACCACCGAGACGCAACAACGCCAGCAGTCGCGCTGCAATGACATACGCATCAACCTAGCAAGCCTGGCTGTATATCCTAGTAATTGTAAAAAAAACACGCGCAGCGTCTGCGCTGCTACTGTGAAACCCCTAACTCGTACATGCACCAGCCAGCAGCAACAACATGTCGTGGTGGCGATGTGGCCGAGCCATGTCGAAGGATGCAGGAGAGGAAAGCCACTGGCTGGGGGTGAGTAGCTTTGGGGCTCTGCAGATAGAAAGCACTATCAAGTTTACGAACCTTTTCGGCAAGGTGCAAGATCGCCTTCTCGCGCTCACGCCATCCGGGTGGAAGCCCAGTGATGGGGTCCAGCACAGTTGCTTGCCTGCCGACGGGCAAAATGATATGGGTCTTTGACTGGTTGGCCGAACAAACTACAGAATCGACAACGCCGGGCAAAAGCCGAATCATGTAAGAGTTTTGGCGCTATGCGCACTGGACTTCTTGTCGGCAACATGAACCCTTTGCGGTTCGACATGTTATGCCTTTTTCGTTTCTGAATCGTCGTAACAAGTGCGGCGTCTTGCTCTATTCGCGCTTGTTGGATCACTCATTCTCATTCACAATCTCTCTCTCTCTCTCTCTCCCTCTCTCTTCCTTCATCCTTCCTTCCTGACTTCCTGCCTTCCAAAGGGTATGAGACAGAGCAGGTCGGGCGTCCAGTCCAGTGGGAGTTAAACCGCACTGCTATGTCTCTCTCTTTATGTCTCTCCCTGTGTCTCTTCTTCTTCGGCTTAGGGGACTGTCGAGGTCCCCGGGCCTATTGGCGCCCCATATGTTATGGGGCTTTGAAGGGACGTGAAAGCAAGATTGGCTTGATCATCAGGACGACAAAGGATGTATTGAACTGTGGAAACTAGTACTTAAATAGCAACATAGTTTTCCTGATGCAACCCACGGTTCTTTGGGACACCTAGGTTCGTGCACAAACGTATCATGCCTGTGTTCAAATGAGAAATACACTGCACGGTGCGTGCATCATCGCTCATGATTGGGCGCTGCAGAAGCCTAGGTGTCCCCTTAGAGCTTTAATTTAAACGCCATCAAAGCTAGAACAACTATATCACACCCACAGGCTCGCAGGGGCATCTGCTGCGAGGCATCACTCTCTCTGTCTCTTTCAGGTCTCTGTCTCTCTCTCGCTTTCCCTCTGTCTCTCTCTGCCTTTCTGTGTCTGTCTCTCTCTCTCTTGGGCATGGGAGGCGGTTGAGGCCCTCGGGCCGAAGGCCCACCCATGTTGCGGGGCCTTGTGAGGAGGTCGTGAAACCCGATCTGAGGAAGCACAAGGATCGTCGCACCGGGGTAATCGGCCTTCTTCGGGAACCTGGACGGAAGCTTTGAGTGCCTCGGAAGGCTTCAAAGTTCAAGTTTTAACTGTTATTTAGTTGCTGCCAGTTGACAACAAAAAGCGTGGCGGCGAGGTAAGTCAATCCCGGCGTAAAGAAATACATTGTCCGTATTGGCAGATTCTCATAGATTCTCTAGGTTTGACCTCACGCAGCGACAAAGAAAGAGAGGAAAAGAAGAAAGGTTTCACTCACTCGTCTTTTTGGCGGAGGTTGCTCGGATGCAGTGCTGAGCGAGGCATTGCTCACTGGCTGAGACACGGCACGCGATGCCGAGCGGTTACCCCCACTTTAGCGGCATCCAAACAACCTCTGTCTGGTCTGCTCCGCGCGAGGCTGCCGCATGTACCTGTCAAGAAAAGCAATAGCAGGAAGTGGTGCTGTCACGAAACTACCTGGGCAGTGCGTCCACGGCTATTTTGACTCAACGTAGCGTGGCCGTCTGTGCTTTAAGTAGACTTGGCGGCCAACCCGTCGAAGCAAAACCTCCTACCAAAATAACACTGTGCGATGCTGAAACCAGCTGTGCAAGGGTGATGCGAGCCCGTCTGCTGTGCGGTGCTCAATGATCTGCCCAACCATTCTATTCACCAGCGAGGTGTTCCACCTGGAACTGCACACCGTGGCAGGTCCGCCCAAGTGGCCGCCGAAGAAACGTGCCGAGCGGTTCTGCGGTGCTAAAGCTTAAGTTGTTAAGCCCGCTTTCGGCACTGGTGTTGTCACTGGCCGAAGGCAAAACGAACTTAACCTTGTTGCTGCATAGTGCATGCCAGCAGCATTGCGCCAGTGCAAGCTGTGCCGGGGTTTCAATACACGCTATCTGAGGCTGCACACTTCCAGTAAGCTGCGGCCACCGTGCTCGAACTTCCTCGGCTGAGAAAACTTCGCTGCACCAGAAAAAATAGGATGTACTGAGCCAACGCCGATGCCCATGCGGTCGGGTCTGCAAACGCAACTGCATAGCTGAGGCAGTGGATCAGAGGTGCACACCGGAGCTATCGCGGTTGCTCATGTGCGAAGCAAAGGCGAAGCCACTTTAGAAATATACAGTGATGTCCAAAAGCAATACATAATTTTGTGTTTCGCCGTTGGCGCCGTGGTATTGGCTGATGCCGTTGACGCTCTGCCTGGCAAGAGACACTGCATGATCTGCAAACGTGTTCGCCTTCTAGCTACTGTCAGGAACTTCGTGTCTGGCAAGAAGCACTGCCCCGAGCGAAGCTGATTCTCAACGTGCTCCCCTCGAGCACGAGCTAGCGCTGACTAGATGCTGTTAAACATGATCGCTCATGATTGTGATTTGTTTTCTGGCCTGGCGACTTGCCGATCGTCCTGTCTGCGCTGCAGACCTTTGGAGGCCGGAACTACGTTCATCATCCAGGATATAATTAACAGTGTAAAGAATGCTTCGGAGTGGTTTTGAGGGTTCCGGGATATCATGAGGCAGTCAAACCTGGAGCTAGATTTAGATATCGATATCCCTAAACCCAACACCCCAAAAAGATGCATATTATATACATATATATGTATATTTTTTACACATATTACATAAAGTATAGCTGTATATACATATATACAGTATAAATATGCAGATAGATATATATATATATATATATTTATTTATTTATTTATATTTCTATTGCTGGCCAGTCAATATCTAGACAGCTAGCCCTGTATCCCAAATGCCAAATTAAATCTAAACCCGAAGAGGCTGGTGATTTGCTCTCGGTTTTGCTATGTATAGATATATAGGGTATTGAATCGTTTTAGATTCCGAAAATTTCAGCACGTCACGCTGTGACTATCTTGGCATTGGAAGGCATTCCAATCTCGGGAATCGACAGTACCATGAACTTATCCGTTAATCATTATGTAGGGGCCCTAGAATGCGTATACTGGCATCTTTACACCCGATTGCATTAACCCTTGATAGCATGGTGTCATGCGCATATTGTATGATAACCTCTAGATCGGGCCAATTCATGCGGACATTACGCGTAGAAGCACGATGCGGAAAGCTGGTTCATATACGATTTCCTGGAGGGCTACAAAAAGGGTCCGTCAAATACGGCCGGGAACCGTGAAACAAGAGCCGGGAACCGTGCTCTGATTGCTAAATCCAAGAAGCAGGTCCCGAAAGCTCCGGCTTTCACCCCTTCCAAGCCCTCAAAGCAAGCGGATCCACCCCCAGAGACCCCTGATGAGAAGATGTCAGTACTTGCCACTCCGGCTACTGCGAAGTCGATACTTAGTGGCACAGGCCTCCGGCGATCCTCCAACTCCACACAATATGATGGATGTTGGCTAGCCAGACAACGAGCTAAGTATCCTCCAAAGCTTGTTCTCGTCTGTCCGGTCTACAAGATGCGCTGTGCAAGGTTTCGTTGAGGGTCATGGTGGTTGCTCGGGTGTGAAATCCAGAAAATATATGTATGTATATATATATATATATATATATCTATACATATAGACAAGAAGTAGCCCATAGTAAGGCACAACCAATGATAAGCTGCAGGACCACTAAGTTCTACAGTTTACCATGTCATGAAAGTCTTGCTCGGGTCGTTTTGAATCATTTGTTGTTGTGTGGGCATTATTATTAGCTAGAAAGGTTATAGGGTACATAGCAACTGCTTGAAACAAGCCGCATGATTACAAACACCTATCACTGGTTGGAGGGGACTGCATGGGCACGATGTGCATGCAACAATAAATGTCACCAACAATTGGTTCAGGGTTTAAAGGTTTAGGGGAGTTTGTATAAACCCAAGACCAAACCACAAGCCCTGAACCACAGGTAACCCTAATAGAGTCTGCAGGACTATCAGCGTCCCTCTGGTAATTAGAACAGCGAAGCAACTAACAATACCCTTACAGCCCCGAAACCTTACTACTGCCACGTGGGGGTGAACCCGTATAAACCGGACCCCTACCTTACAAGGATCCGCAGAACCGGGTACCATACTAGACCCCAATGCCCAAAACCCTCAACTCATGATCTATATATTGGGCCCCTTTAAAACCAACCTCTCTATTCGTTCACACCACCAAAGCACGACAAGCTCCCGTGGGGGTTGGAAGGCGACCCATCCAATGATATATATATATATATATATATACGTATGTGTAGTGTGTATATCTATATATATAATGTATGGTTCGTACACCCCATATATATATATACATATCATATACCCCCTTGCAAACCTGTTTCATCCTAAAGCTTGAGCCCTAGCCGCTAGACACTACTCTTAAAATAATAGGGTTCGGTCCAAAGCTTCCGGGCCTCTGTCAGCTGCGGAATGGCCTCGGTTGCCACCAGGTCGGTGTTCGCGCTCGGGCTTGCGGGGTTCCCCCTCGGATATATGGTGGGCCAGTTTAGGGTCTCGGCCTTGGGGTTTAAGGCTCTCTGTGTAGACTTCATAATTAATAGGCCCGGGGATATGAAGATGTCTATGGTTCTCTCTTCGGATATTGATCAGCAGTATACAGATTAGACTTGGCAGTTGGGGCAAAAGGGTCTAGACTTAAGCTTTAGGGTTCGGTAATTATTGCTGTCTTGGAGCACGTACAGGTTGCATACTGGCTGATTGGTTGGAAAGCAAGTGGCCAATGCTCTCGTCAGTTGATAAAAATTCAGGATGTAAAATGAGATTACAGGGTCAAGGTTCTGGGGCTTTTTGGCACTAGGCATTTCGACTATCCGATGTGCGGGGAGCTCATCGGATTTGGAGTTGAGTTCTGGGGTGTAACGGCTCAGCGGGTGTGAGCTTATTCGGGTTCAGGGTGTATGTCTATATATGCAGCTTTACTGTGCAATGCGGTGTGGGGATATGGGTGACATATACACTACAACTGCAAGCTGCATCCGGATTCATCAGAAGCTTGCCGTGTGCAACAGCCACATGTATGGATAAGATTGGGCGTGCACACTGCAGTGCATGTTGGACTTATAATTATAATCTATTTAGATTTAGCTGGGCTGCGTGTTTTTTGATGGTGCTTTTGCACACACCCTTCGTGTACACACCCTCCGATGTCCCTTGGTGCCTGCTGCGATCAGCC